AATTATCATTCTACTAGCTAGAGGATCAGAGTTCGGTAGCCTAGCAGCCTTCTCTGAACCTAAGTACGACTAACTCCAGTTCGATAGCCTAGCGGTCATCTGGAATTAGCCAGCTAGGGGAGGTCTGAAAGACGATAGCCACGCAGTTCCTTTCATCCCTCCACTTAGGGTTGCAATTATCTAGATTAGTTTATAGTAAATTTATGTAACAGTGAAGTTACCCATAAATAAATAATCATCAAGAACACCGGGGCTTTAATTTCACAACCAGCAACCCTACAGTACTTAATTTTACATCAGCATGTAATAGTACGATGACATCAACATGAAACATCAATCATGTAGGCTGTACCGTAATTGTAGACGTACAATACATGTTCTCGGTCTACTAACAAATGAATTACCGTGTTCTTTTGTATGTACTAGTACCTACATATAATATTCTTAATACCTATAGACAAACAAAAAGGCTTCATCTCATCTAATATTCTCTAAAGGAAACTTTACCTCCGATTCTATGTACCTAAATACTAATTATCATAGTATTAGCTATTAAGTCCCATTATGAAGTGTACTTATTCATTTTAAACGAATTACCTTTTCATTTTAAATAAGCAACATTTTTCATTTTATTAACTTAATCCACTTGTTGCTGCCTTATTTATATAGGTACTCTCGTATGAGCAGGAAAAGTTTCCCGTCAATTCTTATTTTAATCGTCCGACTATTTTCACAAACAGATCGTTTATAATTTTAGAGATACATAGTAGGTACTATAAACAATACGTTACTTGAGCACAGTTTTATAAAAATCTTTAATTGGTTTTTCATTTGACAAATCTTTGTATTAAAATAGTAAATGTAAACTTCATTTCAAAACAAAACAATAGCAATGCCTCTGTCATTCTAATAATAACTTTATACACAAAATGGGACCACTGGTTACATGTTTATACGTACAATGCCCACGCATAATGCCTCATACATTCATGTAAGCTGTTTTACTATTCACAATAAATACGTATACAAAGCTGAAAAATATCATAGTATATACTAAGTGTGACAATATCTTGCTCAGCTTTTCGTACTACGTACCTACTAACATAATCATATAAAATACTAAATTTTAGGTAGATATCATATCGGGTCACGGATTCTGCTGGTGATCCAACTGGTCATTCTATTCTCTTTAAAATGGATCTCTACTCTATTTTGTTATAGAATACAACAAAGAAACAAGGAAGTTCAAATAGAATTGATTTTCTCGATTTTCTCATGTGAGTCTCCCAATCTGTCATATAAAATTAAACTTTAAACACATTCACTTAAGTGACAACATAGATCTATAGTTGTTGGTTTCTACCGCGGCAGTTCTTTGTTTCTAAACCATCGAGGCTGAAAATTAATAGCCGATCTTAATCATAAATCTTTGAATCGCTCTAATTTTTCGACGTAAAGTCCACACACACACGCCACCAAATTTACCAAATTGAGTAAACCAAGGCCTGCACTCACATCATTCATTACAATACATTCTTGTTTGCTAGCGATTTGTGAAGATGGCGGACCGCCACTACGTCACCCAAAGATGTGCTGAAAATCAGCGTTGTTGAGCACATCCTGTTTTTGCGCGCGCATTACATGACGCACAATATTAGCGGAATTTACATGCACCAAGAACCTATAATGGCTTCATATTGTTTTATTGTAGCAAAATATAGATTCCTATAGCTTAAAAATGTAGAAAAACGATTTCGAAGTAGAGTAAAGTGTTCCTTGCTTATGGTCCACAGATAATAGTAGTTATTCTATCATTGTATCAATTCACTCTGCCTGTGGACCATAGACAAAACTTCATTTTTTTTTAGCTTTGAACCTTGGTATTATAAGTTATATGCATTTGTACCTATATAGTATTTCTATTATACTTTGGCTTACCTTAGCTTTATATTATATTTTATTTTTGTAATTTTTAATTAACTTTTTTTAAACGTTGCCCACACTAGGATTTTACTCCTGTGTCGTGGGTGCGTTTACAAACATACAAGTTCACATACACATAATGACACCCAGACCCAGAACAACAATTTGTGAATCACACAAAGAGTTGCTCCGTGCGGGAATCGAACCCGCGACACAGTGCGCGGCAGCCAGTTACCCAGCCACCGCGCCAACCATGCAGTCAATAATTATGTTATGTGTGTTCTGAGCAGAAATAATTGATTTTTTTTCTTTTCTTCTTTTTTTCCTTACAAGTATATTGGTGTGCAGGGTTGATGACGCCGGGTTGTGACTTACAGTGTAATACATTTTCATCCTAATTTCTAGCCTTACAGCCCGAATTTTATTTGGAGTGTTCGGTAGATACCTCTTAGACCATAATCCATGGAAGGTATCGTTAGTGAGATTAAGATAAAAGCATTGAATGTGACTGGTGTCAATTACTTATGCATTCTGAGAATTTCATGCCGTAACGTCTCACCCCTTTTTTCCCGTAGGTTAAGGTGCACCTCTGCTATGGAGCATTCACTTTTCATCATAATTAATTAAGTATTATATCAATTACATTGTTTATAACTACATAAATATTTACAACTTAAAATTAACTACAACTAAACTATTAAATAAAACGAAAGTAAAAAAAGGAAACAACAAAAATTATGTCCTCAATTTAGGCGTCAAAGTATTCGTCCGCATCACTATAACGTTCCCAGGAGACTGGCAGCAATTCCACGTTGAATGGCAATGCTTATTTTCTGTCCGAAGAAATAGCAAGCCCTCTGGTCACGTGTAGAGTCGATAAAAATAAATAAATTTATAAACAATGTAATAGATTTTCGAAATAAATTATAGTCATAATTAAAAAAAAGTATTATATCATGTGTATATCTCAAGCAATTTGTAACCTTAATTGCCATTCATGTTAATTTAAAGTTCTAAAGATAAACTTCTTCAACTCTGCTTTATTTGCGTATGTAAAATACTTTTCTACGTATTAAACAGCACCAATTTTCGGTTTGAAAGTTTTCCATACATCGTTGCTTCATACAAAGCGACCAAATTGTTGATTGGGCCCTGCAAATGTTAAATACATAGGTACTAGTTCGTGCAAAAAAATACAACTAAATTGTATTTCGTTGTGCAAAAGAAAGAAAGGAAGAAAGAAAAAGCTACGTATAAAATAATATCAATGTGCCCATGCCAAAAGGGCCTCCACCTTCAGCATATAGAGGTAGTTGAGAGTACATGCTCAACTCTAATTTTCAGGTGGCACCCTGCAGTGACTCACGGACGGCGGGACCGCCACTCAATAGAGAAAAGAAATAAATAGGAAAATGGTGTAAATAAAACAAATTCTGCAGCAATTGTGCGTGTGTGTATGTGTGTGTAAATTTGTGATCCAGAATAATGTATACATCTTATATATGTGAATACAGAAACATATAAAAATACAATTAAATTTTGCAATGAGAATTAGTTTCAACATTTACTCTTTTTTTCAATTAACTGAGGGTTATCAAACATTTTTTGGCTATCAAACTAGACAGGTACTATTTAATAACACCCGTGCTGAGCTCTCGCTCAATTTGTCGCGTGGTACAAAGCAACAATTACCCTCCACAGGCCACAAGCCAAAAGCATATAATCTGTTTAGGACTCATGTACAGTATAACCGAACCTTACAATTTTCGAAATCTGATTAAGATAAATTGACTGAAATTCAATCAATGTTTTGATTATCTTTCGTTTATTAAAAATTTTTGTTCATTATCTTCGAGATTCCTTTACGAGATGTATCAGAGGGTAAAATAAAATAAGTGAGACACCACAAAACGTCAGTTCAAAGACCTTTGGGGCAATGACCTAAATAAATACTGAAGTAAATAAAAATTGTCTGGTTACTTTAGAAAAGTACAGAAAAAAATATTTTAATTTACTTTATGAAATAAATCAGTAGTAGTCTTATTAAACTACCTAAAACCAACGTGCGTGGAAATGATTTCGATAAAATTGTGTACATAGCTTAGACGCCAACTTCTCATGGACGAGGGCGCGGTTTCGAAACCTATCAACAGCAAGGACCAGTGTGACTTTTTCCAAGTTATATGTACTTTCTAAGATTATTGAGACATCAGTGACAAACGGTGAAGGAAAACATCGTGAGGAAATCTGGGCTTATAATTTCTAATTATTAGTTTGAAAACCCGCATTGAGCAAGCGTGGTGATAAATGCTTAAACCTTCTCTGTGTGAGAAGAGACCTTTGGTCAGGTGTGGGCACTTATAGGCTGTTGACGTTGATTTTGTATGTATGTATAATAATATACGAACGATACAAGTTGCATAGGTGCAATTTGTATTCAAATGTGTCAGCTTTACTGTGACGGTGTTGAATTGCAATGTATTTGCTAGTCAGAAAAAATAATGCAATGAACACAAAAATTCGAATAATAACGAAATAATTAATCAATTTTTTATTTATTTACAAAACTGTCTCGTGAGTTGAGTAGACGAAAGAGTGATTATCGAGGTTTTAGATTCTATTCTCGGTTTATCAATGAATTTATCGTTGTAGTATTCGAATTTAGAAATTTAGTCTGTCATTGTGCTTGATATACTTATCTTCGTTTCCTATTACATAAAATTAATTACAAAGCTAATGAAAGTGACTATTAATTATTACGTTTATATTATAACTTGCGGAAGACATACTAAATTAATTACTATATTTTTCGGTTTACTTACATAACTGTTTGACAAGAAACTCGACTAGTTTCAAGCTATACTAGAGGCTCATATTCATGAGCAACATTTGGCGACACAATAATAATTAATTATTACGTCTAATGATAAAACGTGAACAATTTTTCTTCGGGAATAAAAAGGTATGAAAAATGTCATAAAGAGTCAATAATTCGATTCCTATATTATAATAAGGTGTATTGTAAAGTAGTAGGTATCGTGGCTAATTAACCATGTCACTTGGCCCGAGACTTGTGAATGTATAATGATCAGAGCCGCCGTTGTGCTTTGTCACTGTGTTGTGTTCATCGATTACGGCTGCCTGCTACGGATGTGAGTATTATTTTTGTATTTATTTTCTATTTTCTATTTTACCTTATACCCAATTGAATTATTTGAAAAACTTATATTTACTTTTACATGCAAGTAAGTAAGGAACGCAATGCAATACAAATCTATGTAATAATCTAACTATCTAAAAATGGACTCAGAAATTGTTGACAATTAGTCAACAATTGTGCATTGAAGCTTCAGTTTTTTTAGAGTTTTTAACACCACTTGGCCTTATGTATATAATTTCGCACACTAATTCTCAGATTTCATATTTTGTAAATATGAAATCTAAGAATTAGTTGGTTTTTGTAATATATAGTACAAAAGAGTAAAGAGTAGGACTCGCATATAACTGAACTGTGAAATATGTGGTTTGAAGAATCAATAAATAATCGTTGTAACATTTTCTTTTATCATTTTTGGTTTATATCTTTTAATACACAGAAATGAATAAAAACCTATATATTATATCATTATTAAAACAAGCACGTTGTATATTAAATATTATATACGAGTACAACTGGTGTGGTATTGCTCGATTAGCGTTTGCTTACGTCAATCTATCACATATGCTTATTTAGCTGTCTCATGTTTCGACAATTTAAAAAAAAATGAAAACATTGCCGTGATTAAAGCGTGTATATTCTTATTCCACGAATTTTGACACAGTTACCAGATCTAATATCTTCTAAACATAAAGTATCTAATGAAGTAAAATAACGTATAATCGACCAAATTGATAACGCCCTATAAACTTATTTTCTTACATACATTTAAATGCTATTACGTCGACATTCGCGTAAACTTACTTTTCCATGGTAACGACCTTGTTATCTATCGTACAATTACACAGAGAGTTACTTGTACTTGTCCAGTCCCATCTTGGTATTTTTACTGCCATAATATTTTTTATCCATTGTAGTTAATTTCAAACAGTTTGGGTTCAGAATACGAATATTATTATTTAATCCATAATGTTATTTATATTTCTTTTTTTTTCATATTTATATTATTAAAGGTTTGTCCTCACGTAGTCGTAAACCTATTTAAAAAAAGGTTGAATCATAAACAAATATTAGTTTCCATTTGAAGTACTTATTTAAACATTTTTCAAATCTGATTTTGTTGGTACAAAAGATTATTTTTTGCTGGGAAAAAATAATCTAACTCTTTTCTTCATGGAATTACTTATAACGTATACATAATAGATATCTTATAAGAGGTACCATAATAAAAAAAGTATCTCGAAGTATAAGACGTTGTATCAAGTATATTATGTGTTGTACCCGGTAATGTGGTCTTAAAAGAAATAATTTGATGAATACAATACATAAATGATTAGAAAGTAACATGTAATACGAAAAGTATTTTTTTTTACAATAATAGGAGATGACACAATATATTTCCTAACAAAATTATGTATGTTGTTTATTTTTGTCTCAACTTTATCTATATTCAAATGTACTATCTATATATATATTATATTAGATAATGGTGATAGATTTCGTAGAAACAATAAATTACATATATGTAAATACATATTCTCCGAAGTTATTGTAGGTAAAATAAATGGAGACAAAACCGACTTCAAAAAACCAAAAACTAATAACAAACAAAAAGAAAAAACTAAAAAGAAAAAAATTAACTATCATTAGTATCGTACTATCGTTAGGTTACCACCCAGTCACCCACTGATAGGTTAGAAGTTGGAGCTATAAGTTCTGTACAAAATTATTCATTAAAACCTTAATAGAAACCTAATTTACAATTTTGTGGCCATTATGTTATATCATTATGATATGAGCATATGGCACCGACTAACCTATCAGTGGGTGGGTAACCTATCCGTAGATACTAATAATAGTTATTTTTTTCTTGTTTGTTAGGCGCAAGAACAAATAAAGCGGATGGTTTACCGACACGTAAACATGCCACGTACATGCATGAGAAAAACATGCATTTACTAAATTGGAAAATTAAAAATAGTCAATGCTTGGCCCTGTGATTTGTTAATCGTCATGGCGAAGGCAAGACGAATCAGGAATTGAATTCGATTAAATTCATAGGGCATATCCGTTGGGATCATCGGAATCCTTGGAATAAGAACTTCCTCATCTTTCAAAACAAACAAATAACAATGCCAGATCCTGACCCAGTCATACTATCATTTACAAAAAAAGTAAATTAATGAAAATAATTTTGATGAATAAGGAACCTTTTCACTATAAATCTTTTTTTTTAAACTTGCGGTTTAAAATTTAATAAAAATAGAAGTTCAATCCCGGCAATACTTTTTTGCAACGCGCATTCTAATTGTCGAATGACTATTTGCATTACATTTACATTATACGCGCAACGCTTGATACGAAAACGAAACAACTAAATCAACGAAACTATGAAAATAAAAAAGTAAGTAACTGTAAAAAGATATCATTATGCATAAAATATTATATCAAGAGTATAATTATGAATAACATTTATTCATTTATTAATAATTACAGATGAAATAGCAAACAATCACGAAAAAAAATAAACGATTATTATCATTAGTTATGATTTTTTTTTGTGTAATGAAACATTTTGAAGCGCTCGTCAGCTGTCAACTGTCAGTGTCAATATAATCTTTCATTCGCTTTCTGAGTTTCCGTTGTTTTCGCGTTATGTTTTGATTATTGTTTTGTGTTTTAAACAAAAACCGCAAGTTTTACAGGTTTCAGGACAAATGTTTAGGTATCTGTAATTAATACACAACACGATGCTGAATACTGCATGCATGTACATGACTTCTAATATAGTGGGTCAAAGATGTACTGAGCACCTGGCATTATCCTTTACTATTTGCTTACAATTTGCACTTTCGAGACATATACAATGGTTTAGATCAGTAGTAATGAAACTTTAAAAAATCATAGATAACATAAAAAGATGTTTATGTATTCGATAACCTATATAAAATAATTTTTTGAAATAAATCCTGATCAGAAAAATAAAAAACCTGGGATATTGCGGAATTTTTAAAACTATTTTTTGTCATACATTTTGATAGAAGAGTGACAGTTAAAATACGAAAGCGACCTCCAGACAGGTTTATTATCTATATATCTAGTCAGGCTGTACATTCGTTTAGATCATAGTAGACTACGTCATACAGTACGAAATAAAGTAACATTATGGGAAAATGACTGCCTCATTAGCCGAGTGCAGTGCAGTCGCAAGTGCGACTGCCGGGCAAGGAGTCTCGGGTTCGATTCCCGGGTCAGGCAAAGTAATACTGGGTTTGTAAAAACCTCAGTAGTAGCACGGAGTCTGGAAATGTGCCCGGTATATGGCAATAGGCTTGCCCTCTATTACATGGGACTCATAACATAAATAGTGAAAAGTGGGTGTTACACTGTACAGTGGCATTTAGTGCCGTAATGTGCACCTCTGGCTAGCCCTTCGGGGATAAAAGGCGTGATGTTATGTTATGTTATGGGAAAATTATTCCTCTTTTATAATTACGTTCTTGTCCAGTATTCATTATTTTTAAATTTGGGGACAAATACAACGTACCAAAAACTTTAAAATTTGGTCTAGCCGATCTTGAGTTATTAGTGTTGTAACCCGTCTTTTTTATATATATATAGATGAAAGCCCGTAAAAAATACTAGCGTTTTCATATAATCATCGATTTTGTTACATTTATTTTTTATTAATAAATCGTATTACTCCACGGACTTATATCCGTGTCCTTGTCATATTACAGTTATTATATTCATGGTCAAATAATAATTATGATTTATATTTATACGCTAACCACTAATATCACTGCATAAAGTACTTGATGTTGTTACACCTATATAATTATTATAATCTTATTATCTTATACTAACCCTACTGGATCACCCTACCCCATCAGCACGATGAGCGAGCCGACCTGCTCTAGCAGAAGGCATCCGTTCACGGGTATGACGTGAAGGCCAGCAATAATTTTGTAGGGAACGGAGCGACCCAGTCCACAGCGCCACCGTTTTTGTTACATTACAATTTATCTCAGTGAGGTATTTCAGCTCTCTAAGTTTGTTTTCTTTAGTTTTCGCATTTCTTTAGATACCTACAAAACATCGTTCTGAAAATCCATGAGATGGTATGGATATGAACTGACGTCACTACACTATACCTACATTACAAAATGTATCGTTTTTTTTTCATAAATAACTTAACTAAAAAAACTAATTAGACTAATTAAATCCACAAAATAAATTAGTAGCTTTTAAATATTGAAATTAGTTTTTTTTTTCTAATACAACTATATAATATAAATCGTAAGTGAAAAAGTAATACAATATAATTTAAATAAATAACCTTTGCCACTAACATGACGTGGCTCCTACTTTCCTACTGACGGTGGTATTCCACGAGACATCATTTAATTTGTAAATATTTTTATTGAATTAAGCTATGCAATCATTTTACTTTAAAGGTATTAATTTTAATTAATTAGATGGCTAATTTATTATTTACTAGTTACCCGCGGCATCGCTCGCGTCATAAAAGAATAAAAAGTAGCCTATGTGACATATACCAATACACACAGCGCCATCTATACCAATATTTTTGTTTTACCTCGGGAATATCATTTTTTTCCGGGTTAAAAACTACCCTATTATTTAATCCGGACTTCTAACTTTACGTCTGCAAAAATTCAAAGCAATCGGTTGAATAGTTACGGCTTGAAGGTGGAACAAACAAAAAAACAAACAAACTCACTTTCAGATTTATAATATTAGTAAGGATATCAAACTAAGTTTAAAAATGTAAAGCGACTTATATTTTCGAAATTGAACAGTTCGAAATTGAAGACTTTACGTAAATAAATACATGTAATTTTATAAAACATTAATAATTTAATAGGTAAGTAATTATACTTAAAACTCACTCATCGGTGAAGTAAAGAAAAAATATTGGACACGTATTTTTTCACTTTGTCATATAGAAAAACATTACTTAGATTAAACGAATCAAAGACTAGGAGTAGGCTACGTCATTTCAAAATATAAAAGGTACATAGAAATGACGGGATATTTTATCATTATATCAATATATGCTTTGATATTTAGTGTTAAAGTTGAAAATGTAATAAAAATATGTTTTATGCGTGTTAATTTCCTAATACAAGTAATTTGTATGGGGCTTTGTTTGATATAATATTCTCTTCTTATAGGAATCTTCCTATAGGAAGGAATCTTCCTATAGGAAGATTTGTCCACTTGACACTCAATGGGATTACTTGCAGTCACATTATCACATAAGACGCATTCATGGGCGAAATTAATCTTCTAGTGGCAGCTGCTTTAAGTTCTAGGTAGGCGTTAGGCGTTGATAGAGATTTATTTAATTAAATGTTTCTGGTTGACGGATTCAATATAGTATCTAGATAATAATCCATAGTAGGTAAGTAAAATTTAATTAAAAATAATTAATTTAACTACAGTACTTAGACAAATTATTCATAAATATTTTAAGGAAAGTATAATTAGTTTCAGTAAGCAGAAGGTACCAGAAGCATTCGTCACAACTGTTTTACAATTATTTGTAACACTGTCGCATTAACCTATAGTCAACCTATTATGCCAAAATTTAATTTTTATATTGAGTTTATAGACCTTTAAGAATAATTTATACAGAGACTTTGACAATCTTTATTGAAGAAAAAAAATTAAGGCTCCCTGCAGACTACAATATAAAATAGTTTTACACAAAGAAGTGTAGTTAAGAGAATGACGGCGCCTTTTCAAAATTTTAATTGAACTATCTTTTGTATAGTTTTAATATTAGTAAAGGGTTCGATGCTCGCATTGTTGAAATGTTACTAGAATATAACGTGTGAGAAAGTTCACCATTTTGTATTAACATACAATAGTTTTGTTTGATCTTCTGACCTTAACATCGACAAGCTGTTTAGGTTCCTTACGAGTGCACTTAAAATGACTATTCACTCTTTCCGAAGAGGTCAGAAAGGTCATTGAACAAAGAAAAAGTATTCAATATATTAGCCGCACCTAAACGACATGTTGAACAATAGTACACGATTTATGTTATTTGATTCTGTCCTCAAAAAGCGTATCGTCGACTCTCAGCACGCTATTTTCAAGTTACTTAGTTTAAAGAATTTGCAGAATTTATTTTACCTAATCTCGAAATTGTCTATATAAATATATCATAGTATACAAGTATAGGTACGAAGTTGTGTCAAAATACCGATGTCACTTTAAAACCATACCTACTGCGTTTAATTAAAAATAGCACAAGTATTTATTAACATTATTTAAAATAAGTTGAGGATTATTTGTAAAATTAGTAGTGTTATATTCATCTACTTGTTTCCACAGAGAACTGGGCTAGAGAGAGGTATCTAACAACGTAAGTGCGAAAATCTACGCAAACCTTTGAATTGCAGACTTTACACAATACCTAATTCAGAAAAAAAAAACACTTTTAAACCAATATATTTCTGTTCAAACATGTTTTTATCATTTCAAATAGAGTACGTCATGACAGAATGAAACGTCAGGAAATAACATTCGACAAGTCGTAACGTTCGGATCACGGGATGGAAAAGTCAGCTGTATTGCTGAACTACGGTTCTACAAAACGAAAATTTTTTCGTACAGTCACACGTTATTTCGCAACGAACACCTGATCGATGTAACTTGGGAAATGTAGGGCATTTATTACCATACGTAGATGCATTTTTGATTATGTATGGGTTTATACATAAAAGATTTAGCATGTGCAAGGATGTTTACTTCAAATTCGTATGTAACAAGGCTAATGTTCTGTGTTTGAACTCTTCGTTTGGCTTTCAATTTATGTTATTATTTTGATTCATAATATAAAGAAAGAAAGTTTTTTACTTTATCCTCTTTGATGGTTCTAAGTTGTTTTTGATAGGTCTGAGTGGATAGCTATATATTAATATAAATATATTTATTAAATTTCGCCGTCTATATTGGATCTAAATTATATATTTTCTTCAATTATTTTTGCAACTTTATGGGTTTTTAAGACATGACTATTTTTTATCACAGATTTCCAAGATGGTGGAAGTGAAGGAAGCTGCCCCAGTGGCTGGAGAGCCAAAGCTCAGCAAAAGTCGGGAAGCGAACTGGCCAGCGGTTCTTTTCTTCATACACATTCATCTGCTCTCCCTCTACGGAACATACCTGTTACTCTTCGAAGTCAAAATGATGACATTGCTGTTTTGTAAGCTAAAAATTTTCATCTCATTTTTTTTATTGTGCCGGTAACTGATTTAGTAATTTTATCTAGAAACTCTATTATATTGATCATTAAACATATTTTGCGATCACAGTGCCAATTTCTACAATAACACTATTATAAAATGTAAATCAGCACAGTCAGTGTTTAGCGCTGATTAAATTTGAACAACGCGCGTCACGTCTATTATTGGTAAATATTTAGAGTTATCGTAGTTTGAACTTTTACACATACCTACAATAGTTTTTTTATCTACTGCAACTATTTTTATTTTTAAATACACCATTTCTTTTTCAAGTATTGCAACAATATTAACTGCTATTAGGATGTAAAGAAGTCAGTGAAACAACTGTGGAAAGCTAGGTTATAGGTACATAGAACAATTACATTGTCACGAAGCCGCCATGATTGATTAAGATGTCTTAACGGTTGAATGAATTTTAATAAAACGTGGTTAAAACATGGGATTGTTTTTTACATTCAGAAGTTTCTCACGCCTCTATAGAGAAGCAAATGAGTTTGTTAGGACAAACAACTTTTGATGCGTTTTACTTCAATTGGAAGTTACTAGGATTATTCCAAAAATAATTTTATGTGTATGGGCTTTTTTTTAATGGGGGAAAATCATCGAATGACTTCTCCCGCCTGGGTGAGGCGGGAGGGAGTGTCAGACTCTTACTGACTAAAAACCACCCCGTTCCTTCTCCTGCACTTCGAGCCAGAGCCCCGGTAACCCGTTAGGTTCTCCGCGACTCCGAATGTAGGTATATGGGCTTCTATGAGTGAAAAATAACATCGGCCAAAAGGAGATAACATTTTGGGCTTTTTCTTTTCTTATTGTAAAGCGTCTACATTAAAATTACTGCAAACTGTTTCATATCCGTGTAATGCGGATACAATTTCTTTGAATGTTAGAGTTCCTAATGATCGTTATTTCGTAGTATTTACTTGTGCCATCTTGAAGTCTAAATGATAACATACATAACATAACATCATGCCTTTTATCCCCGAAGGGGTAGGTAGAGGTGTACGTTGTACAAATTAACACCCACTTTTTACTATTTTTATGTTATGAGTCCCATGTAATAGGCGGTGAGCCATATACCGGGCATAATTCCAGAGTCCGTGCTACTACTGAGATTTTTTTGAAAAAGCCCAATAGTAATTTGCCCTACTCGGGAATCGATCCCGAGACCCCTTGCCCGGCAGTCGCAATCGCGACTACTCGGCCAATGAGGCAGTCTATAGATTATCATTTATAAATGATAATCCTACTAAAATTATAAAATCGAATGTTTTGTATGTTTGTTGGTTACACCTTCACATCAAAACAGCTAAAGGGGTCAAGATGACATCTGGAATAGCGGTAGATTACCTATGGCCTACTTTCAAGTTTTTATCGCATGTGAAATTGCGGGCAGAAACCAGTAATAATATAAACTTATAATTTGATATATTACTTCCAGTTATACTGCTAACATCTGTGGCATTATTGGGCATGACGACTGGAGCACACAGGTTGTGGGCACACCAAACTTACCAGGCTAGCACTGGACTAAAAATCATGCTCATGCTGTTCCAGACTTTAGCTGGAGTTGTAAGTATTTTTAACATAATATTTAAACATCGAAAAATTTGATTTTGATGGTGATTTAGTATCTAAATATTTTTTTTCCTTCACCGTTGGTCAGTGGTGTCTATATAAATAATCTTAGAAAGTAGGTACATAAAACTCGGAAAAAGATACACTGATAATTTGATGTTGGTAGGAGTTTTAAAATGTAGTTACCAACCTTTATTACTGCAATTCATTGAGTGTGATAACATTAGTTACTACGTTTTAATTTCAATATGCTGCGCTGTCAATATCAACATAAGTTATAATTCTGGATACATAATATATTCTGAAATAAATTAAATACTTCCATCAATCAAGGTACCTCTCATGCAATTATATTTATTGTAGGTATATTGTATAAGGTCGCTAGTGCCATATACTGTTCAGTTACCAACACAGGAAACTAGTAAGCTTCCAAAACATTTCAGATATAAATTAATATATACTTATATCCTTTGACATTACGTTTGGGAACATTACATTATGAATGGATTGATTAATGCCAAAATATATTATGGTAGAAGTCTCTAAATCCAACAGGAAACAAAAGTCTTTATCTCTTCCAGTTCAAATGATTGAGCCTTAAATAATATTAATCGCAAAGTAACAAAATATGGGGCACAAGATATCTGGGTCAACATAAGTAGGTAAGCTGTCTTCAAATAAATAAGGCGCAGTATCAACATAAATCCTTCCATTAAAATTAAATGTAAGTATCTAGGTATATTATGAAAATACGGATCTTACAGGCTTACAAATAAATTTCGTACACATAATATGAACATTTATAATATTACAAGTACCTACTGCCCGCGACTTTGTACGCGCAATTCTGTTTTCTTCCATTTCCGTAGGATTTTCAGGATGTTTTTCTGTCTTAAGAACCTTCTCCTAATAGTAACAAATACAATAAAAAAGAATTAGTGAAATCGGTCTAGCCAATCACGCGTGACCCGTGATCAAGGGAAAAAGGGATTCATTTTTATATACATACTAGCGACCCGCCCCGGCTTCGCACGGGTGCAATATGCATGCATTATACCTAAAACCCTTCCTTGATCCCTCTATCTATTCAAAAAACCGCATCAAAATCCATTGCGTAGTTTTAGAGATCTAAGCATACATAGGGACATACAGACAGTGGATAGCGACTTTGTTTTATACTATGTAGTGATTCATAGAAATATGTATGTATAAGTAGATATTTATTCTACATATTCTCTAACAAATTAAAAAAAAGATACCACTGATACTTTTATGCGTATAGCATGTACCTGAATGACTGCGCAAAGCTGATTTCTTTTTTGCCGTCGTTCAAGATAAAGTTTTCAATCATGTGAAATTTTTTGGAAAGTTCTGCGATAAAATCGAGTTGCAGCAAGTGTGCATAGCTTAAGCGGTCCAATATGTTATCACCGTGAAATCGATTTCGTTTAAGTCTCGAATTAAAATGGTTCGGTCTTGGTAAAACAATAGTATTACAAATAAATGAATTGTTTAAATAAAGTTTTAAATTATACACCTATGTATTATATAATAATAATTTAATTTTTGTGTTTTTCTCAGGGTTCCATATATGACTGGGTGAAATACCACAGATTCCATCATGCTCACTTTGCCACGGATGTCGATCCTTACGACTACAACCAGGGCTTCATTAACTCACACTTAGTAACTCGTTTGAGGAAACTAAGTCCTCACCAGGAGAAGTTGATGCAATCAATTGATATGTCTGACCTTGAGAAAGATTCCGTGGTTATGTTCCAAAAGAAGTAAGAGTTCTTTTATTTTGTAATTTCCTTATGTTTGTGAGATTTTCTGGTTGGTCTTCGATCTGTCTGTTAGATTGATACGTCAAACAATTTGGCGATTTTTCGATTTTCTATTTTTTATTGGATTTCTATTTTTTACATTTACGTCCAGTTTCTCTAACCTATCTATCTGTAGATTTGCTTACTAGAGATAGAATTTTGACATGAGCTCCATACAAAATGTGTCAAAATTCTAATCAAAAATCGAATTCAAAATGTATAGAAACTGGACGTTAGCCGTTATTAAAGGCCAAGTCAAAATCAACATCATTTATTTCAATTAGACCAGGTAGGCACTTTTGAATATCAACAAAAAATAATTAGAGTGAATCTATTTGCTCATTCTAAGGTAGATTTCTATGGATAAGAACGAGAAAGAAAATCAATAGTGAGGTTACTCTTTTGCAACCAGGTTCACAATACCATTTTTATTTACACAGTTTTGTTGGATCAATTGTATGAGAACAATATAACACCAAAATCCAGTCAGAGATCGATATCAAAATCGAATGAGTTTGTCTATATAGGATTAAATTAATAATATGACGGGCGAATCATAACAACATTTTTAGTTCCATATTCGAGGAATTAGGGGTACCCACACTATAGGTATATAGTGTTGAATTTATGGATTCCTTATTAAATTTTTGAGACACAGAAAATAATTCGATGTTGATTGTGAGTTTATTAAAGAAATTATATCTATACTTTTAAGAGTCTTGGAAATATTAGAGGTATTTATTTGTCATTTTAATACTTTCTTTCTGTTTCAGGTTGTACTGGGTCCTTTACGCTATAATCTTTGTGCTGCTGCCTCTGAACGCTCCTCTCGAGTACTGGGATGATTCTATTCTTTGTTCAGCATTCGTCATCGGTTTCCTTCGCTACCTGGTCGTCCTTCATGGCTCCTGGTTGATTGAGAGTGCGATATCTGTTTGGGGATTGAAGCCTGGTGAAAAGTAAGAAGTTTTTTTTTTGAGGGGGGAAAATCAAACAATTACTTCTCCTGCCCGGGTAAGGAAAGAGGGAGTGACAGACTAAAAACTACCCCGTTTCTACTCTTGCACTCCAAATCGGAGCCCCGGGAACCCGTTAAGCCCTCCGCGGCTCCGTAAAAGTGTTTTTAAACCGCAAATGAGTTATGACGTCATGATATTTTTTTATTAAAAAATCAAGACAACCTGAGTTTGCAACTTTGTGTCCTAAGAAGAAAGATGTTATCGTCGTCGCTTAAAATTTCTACTGCAAAGGTTAGGTATACAATTGAATTACTATTTCAGCGTCAGCTTTGAACTTGTTGACAAGTTTTAAAATTGAAATGCTGACTAAACCAGCGACTATTGCAAGACATAAAATATAGGAAAAACGGTTTAGCATTTTGCGTTGATATGATGGAGTTTGTTGTTTGTTATTGTTGTAATAATGCGTTTATATACAAACGAAACGCATTACAAGAAAATTCTAAGTAATACCAACATATGAGTTACTTTCAGTGTTTCATTGAACTAGAAACGCGAGTTTGTTTGTTGATTACGGATTATAGAGTGCTTAGTCTTTTACATCCAAAAGTACGATTCAAATATTAGCTTTTGAAAATTGTTGGTAAATCATAGGCAATTTTCAATTCAATTCCGTTTGCCTGATTACGTGACTGCTAGTGCTACATCGCGCTTTGCAACACGTTTAAAGGATCCAGACTATATCCTGATTTACCCAGATGACTGGCAACAGTAACTAGATAATACTAAGTCAGAAAGTTGGAAATACTCGAATGACTAGCACGTGTTTCCGTTGAAAGAGATATTTTGTAAACGGAAGCAGAAGTTTGTAACACAGAACATACTACAACGACGGTTTGTAAGTAGGTGACATTGTGGTGATCTCTCTGTATGCGTAGGGTCTTGTTATAAAAACATATCATACATAAAATCACGCCATTTATCCTCGAAGGGGTAGGCAGAGGTGCATATTATACCACTGTCTTATATATACTTGTATTAAAATATTTTGCTTTATGGAATATCTATAATATATTACTTTATATATGTTTTTTTATCTTATGAATATTTAGGTCATTTTTAGAAGCGGAGTTTATATTCCGTTTATATGCTGCTAGAGAAGAGGCAGAATAGTTGCGAGCTTATTGCATTAATACTTTTCAGACGGAGAGCATGATAGTACGCATGGGTACTGTACTTTATCAACCTTGTTGAGGAGGAAAAGCTTGAGAAAATTTTATGAACTTAGGTTAAATTAGGTTGAGTCACAATAATGTGTACGTTGTGGGATTTCTAAAATCTCTTACGAAGTACTTATGCGTTCTTGTAACCGTATCATTTCAAAAGGTCATAACGTAGCTTTAGATGTGTGTGTGTGTGTTTCTGGTCGGACGGCGAGAATGGGTGGCTCCCCGTCCGACCAGAAACAAACCCGAGCGTCGCGTTCGCGCACCACGAACGGGGCCCAACAGGGCTGATGCCGATTCGGAGTCGCGGAGAACCTAACGGGTTACCGGGGTTTTTAGTCAGTAAGAGTCTGACACTCCCTCCCGCCTCACCCTGGCGGGAGCAACATCCGATTTTCCCCCCTTAAAAAAAACATATTTTTAATAATATATTTATTCAACTTTATTACAAAAAAGTATAAGATTAAATATCTATTGCAATTTGGATTTTGGGTTAGTGTGTTCTGTGGAATCTATCTATTGAACTCGTTCTTTCTAGTATGATACCTCTTGTTAAACTAATTGATACTACTTAGTATCAAATAGTGTAGTGCAGACAAGTTTGATGAACTTTACTTAAGTACACGCGTATACGAGTAACATAGAAACGTAATATTAATTTTCCAAATCGTGGGATCTAATCTACATAGATTATAGGCAAATATTCCATAAATTACTTCGAAAAGTTTGATATAACAATCAACTATAATCGATGGGTTTGTAGATATTAGTAGGTATGTATGTACATGTTGTACAATGCATGAAATTATTCCGCTTCTGGTGACTGGGTAAGGGTTTATCATTATCTCCACAGCTGGTTAGATATTTACAGTTTAATGTATAGTGGGTGGTGTGACATTAACAATTTTCTATTATGTCTTATATGCTGGCATTAAAAGTGGTTAATTTAGCTTTGCTTGCACTATAATACCAGTGCAACTTTATACCTAAACTCGTCAAAACTAAATAGGACCCACCCTGTTTTTATTCTTTTATCAAAAAGCATTCATCAGTTTCTGGTTTTTAAGAACAGAGATGTTTAGATAAGGCATTTAGACATTGTTTAGACTTATTTCGATTTTTTTTTGAAATACTCACAAAATACACTTTTTTAGGGAAATTGCACCAAAATAACCAGAATGTAAAACTCAATCCATTTTCTTTTTTATGTGACTATTCTTTGAATAGGTATTGTTGTTTATTAGTAAAACTCTAATATTGGTGCCAGTAAGAGCATTTTTGTCCAAATGGTTGCTGGGCCTCGTCCTCGGCAGTCGGTGGAACTTCGTGGTGAATTTCCGACGTTTGGCTCCTAAGTTGAAAAGGACGGGGACGGCGGTTAATCGCCTCCTACCCAACCTCGGGATGCCAAACGCCTCCTGCCGGTGGTTATACGCTGGGGTCGTGCAGTCCATGGCCCTCTATGGCGTACCTGTGTGGGCGCCGAATCTGTTGCGGCCGCTGCTAGCTGCTAACTGCCTGCTCGGGCGCTGCTAACGTGACAGACGGTCATGGCGATCCGAATGATCCGCGGATACCGCACGATCTCCGGGGAGACGGCGAACCTCCTTGCCGGATTACCGCCGTGGGACCTGAAGGCGAAGGTGCTCGCGCACGTGTCCTGTCTGCGCGCGGAAACATGTCGCCGCGTCGGGGCGAAACTCCACTGCCGCGCCAAATTAGTGTGTGGCGGGAAGAGCTCCGGCACGATCTTATGGCGGAATAGCAGCAACGACTGTCGCAACCGAGGGCTGGGCTCGCTGCCATTGCAGCGGTAAGTCCCCTCTTTGAGGACTGGCTTGAGAGACGCTACGGTGTCCTTACCTACCGCCAGACTCAGTCCTCACCGGACATCCGCGCGCGCCTCAAAGAGCCATCAGACCACCACGGATGGGGCCCAATAGGGCTGATGTCGATACGGTGCCGCGGAGAACTTAACGGATTACCAGGGTTCCGGCTCGAAGTGCAGGAGTAGGAACGGGGTTGACGTCTGACGCTCCCTCCCGCCTCACCCAGGCGGGAGAAGTTATTTTATGATTTTTCCCCTTAAAAAAAGTAGGTATCCATAAATCGTTCATATTCTTTTATCACACTAGTATCCATCTGTAAATACTAAAAATCTTGGCCTATCTTTCATATCTGAAGTGTAGAGTCCTCCAGTATTCATGGCTCAGTTCAAATGTTTGTGATCACACGTTAAACGAGCTACACGGTGAACTCCGGTCAGTTTAGGTTAAAAAAAACATAAGACATTTAAGACGCCCGCTTCTCATGCACGAAACCTACCAACGGCATGTACCAATGTGACTTTTTCCGAGATATGTGAAGGTTCCGACGGTGAAGGAAAACATCGTGAGGAAACCTGGACTTATAATTTCCAATTATAAGTTTGTAATCGCCAACTCGCATTGAGCAAGCGTGGTGATAAATGCTCAAACCTTCTCCGTGTGAGAAGAGGCTTTGCTCATCATACGCTGTTAAAGATGACCACAAGACATACAATTTCTTTCTATCACATTTTTTCAACCTCTTCAATTAAATCAATGTATACTGGTACCATAAGGAATAAGGTTTAGGTATCGAACAAAAATAAAAAAAAGTCAAAGTATTTATTTCAATAAAAACCATAATTTGGTACTTTTGAAACATCAACAAATACAAATGAATCTATTACGATGTGGGCAGCGGAGGAGATCCAAATAACGCAACCAATTAATAGGCAAGTAGTTTATTAAAAGTTATAATGATATATTAAAACTAAGTACTTAAAATTAGCGTCCTAACGTCCCGATGTTAGGCGACAAAAGGCGACATGAGAAGTCGGCGAACGGTTTTTATAAATCGATCAATTCGTGTTGCGCAATCTCGATGAATGACGATTGTATGATGTTCCTGGTATCTGAGGGCTACCTCGGATATAACAATTCGGTAAATAAATAATAGTCTGTCAGTCAGTCCGTCAGTGAAGCTAGGTGCTCATTACAAAATCTAGATTCGGATGGAGAAGAACGAGCAAGAAACTCCATTCGTTACTCTTTTTTTAAAAAGTATGTTCTACAATGTTTCTGATACATATTCCAATACTGTACGTATATGTGAGAACAATGCGAAGACACGCTTGACACATTATACGAATTACAATACTTACTAAAATAAAAAAACATGACTAAAAAAAAATCTTATAGTTTACCATGGAGCTCACATATGCATACTGACAATTCATAAAAATAGTACTTCTATACAAGAAAAAGGAAACTCTTTGTTTCAATAAAGAAAGAAATGCTCGATGCCATCATAAGGAAACTAGATACATTAGAATGAAAGTATTAAATTACCTACTATTGGAATCTAACTACTGGCTACATTTGTGAATTGTCCAGTGGAACCGAACCAACAGGCTGCCAAGCATTCTTATCTTCAAGATAATCTGTCACTTTGTAGTAAGCTTGATTACATAATTCGCGCTTAATATTTATGTTTTAAATATACTTTCATTAAGATCTATTGGGATTTTATTATAGCATTTAATACATAACCCATAAAGGATTTCTGTACCTTGGACAGTCTGAATTGCGGTATAGCTAACTTATTTTTACTTCTAGTATTAAAATTCTGTCTATCGCTTCTTTTTTTAAACAATTGCCTATTTTTCCTTGCATACATTATATTTTCATATATATATTGACAGGGCACCGTTGAAATATTTATCCTTTTAAACAATTCTCTCAGCGATTCGCAACGGAGTAAGTTATACAATTGCTCGGATAGCCCGCTTTTGTAGAATAAATATTGATTCTATTTTTGCACCTCGACCCCACAACAAAATGCCGTACGACATAATGCTGTGAAAATAACTAAAATAAACAAGCCTTGCTGTATCTACGTCCGTGAGCTGTCTAATCTGTCTAACTGCAAAAGCAGCTAAGATCAATATCCCCGAAAGCGCCTTTATAACATTCGGATGTATACATTATTTGTTATTTTATGAAAATACTGAAGGATATTATCATAAACAATTACATCAGTATATGAACGATTAAGAGTTCGATCCTTTATAATCCTGTGTATCAAATTGTGGTCCTTTAATCTTACGTTGTTTTTATTTTATTTATTTGTCACAGATCACCACCGGACTCAAACGCAATATTTATTTTGACCAAGTCATTCTGGCCTCATTACCACTACCTGGTGCCATATGACTACAAATCTGGAGAATATGGAACTTATGGTAAGTTTTCATATATAACTTGATAAGTACAAGTAGCAAGGACCACCCTCACGCTGGATGGACTGCCAATATCGTCCGTCGCGGGGACACATCACATTCTATCTTGTATTAAGGTATATTGAAAAGTTTTATTAATGTATCCTTTTGAGACCTGTATTTAACTATCCGTTACATTTGAAATGTAATTCGATTTTAATCTACTACTGGTGTTCTTGGTTTATAAGCTTTAGTTCATAAAATTGCTTTTGGAATAAATAGGGTAGGACGTCGTCTCTTACGATAAATTGATGACATATGCTAAGGCTATATTACTATAACTATTCGTAATCCACTACGGTGCATATACAAATACTAGCTACTTGCGCGCGGTTTCACCCGCTCTGCTCGGCTCTTATTGGTCGTAGCGAGATGTTTTATAGCCTTCCTTGATAAATGGACTATCCAACACAAAAATAATTATTCAATTCGAATCAGTAGTTTCGGAGATTAGCGCGTTCAAACAAACAAACAAAAAAATCAAACTCTTCAGCTTTATAATATTAGTAGAGATTATTCAACACGGAAACACATAGGTTCAATAATACGAGTATACTACTTTCGTCGCTTTCGTTGATACGGAAAAATGTTGAATAAAACAATAATTTGTAAAATTTGTTGGAAAATTCAGATATTGAAATTCCTTGCATAACTGGGACCGTACAACGTTAATTAATAAACACAGGGCAATGGCCAATCTTGATGGATATATTGAATTAAGAATAATGCTCATTTTTATGTAGGTATGATTATGTAATACGTATTAAATTTAATTTCATCGTAAGTTTTTATAAATAGGGTTTTATTGGAAGTCTTCCTATGGGTGTGTTGAAACACAGAGGATCGAAACAACAAGTTCTGGATTCCATATTAAAAATAGTTATTCCAAATGCGATTGAAACTCATGATGAGTCCGCTACAGGCCCAAACAACTCAGACTTACTTCAAATTTTATCAAAATTGTACGTTAATAATTTTCTATTTCAGATAGTGGTTGTTCCACGGCGTTCATTCGCGTATGGGCAGCTCTTGGTCTAGCAACTAAACTACGCACAGTTGAAACTGCATCTATTCAAAAAGCTCTAGCTGATGCTGCAAGGACCAAGAAGGACCTCAAAACCTGCATAGATGCAGCTGTCAATAACCAACAGCTGCCTGAAGAACATTATCTTAATAGAGCTTAATGATACTTTATAATTAGTCTTATTTAGGTTTATTGTATGGTCTATAATAAATTTGTATTTAGTACAGTTGTCGTTTTATTTTTTTTCTGTAACAAATTTAAATGTGCTGTACTTAAGGCGAGAGAAATGTAGAAGCTCAGTGTTTGTTTACTCAGTAGGAACAGACTACTATTATGTTACTAAGTGTTCCTAAAGGCTTAGGTTCTAACAATAGTAATGACTAGAATACTAGATTTAATGTCATGTAGTCCAAGGGCAGAGTTCCTATATTACACGACTGCATGGTTGACGCAGTGGTTGGGTGACTGGCTGCTACGCAATGTAGGTATTGGGGGTTCGATTCCCGCGCCAGTCAAAAAGTAAAATTATGCCATTTTCTGAATAGAATGACCATTATTAGCCCGGAGTTAGGAAGTTCGGCAGGGTTTCACTCCCGTGTCTTGGAAAGCGCGTAAACCAACGGGTCTTGCGCCTGATCTCTCTCTGGTCGTGTCGGTCTGCCATCCCATCAGGTTCAGAGGATGAGGGAACAGAAAATGCACTTGGGCACTGTAATATCTTCTGCGTAGAGGACTAGTCTGGTAAGACTGGCCACCATGATCGAAATCGATCGGGATTTATTACATTACATATAACATTATGAGTAATAAATTCAATTCGACCATCTGATACCTACACGACAAATCTCCGGGGATAATACTATCCAAGAAATTGAAATTGAATCGTTATAACCGCCTACCGTGTCGGACGCCACCGCCGACCGTGTCGGCGGTGGCGTGTTCGGCCGCCGCCATATATAAATTCAAACTCAAACTCAAAAGCATTTATTTCAATTAAACCATAATTTGGTACTTTTGAAACGTCAACAAATATGAAATAAATAATAGTCTGTCAGTCTGTCCGCCAGTGAAGCTAGGCGCTCGTTCCAAAATGTCGATTCGAGTGGAGAAGAACGAGCTAGAAACTCCAATCGTTACTCTTTTAAAAAAAAGTCTGTTTTTACATTGCTCTGATACATATTCCAATATTGTACACACATGTGAGAATAATGTAAAGACATACCTGACGCAACATACAAATAACAGAATGTACTAAAATAAAAAAGACCAAAACCAAGAGAAAACAAATAAGTATCTTAAGTCTGACATGGTCCTCACATGTGTATACTGACAATCCATATAAAATAGTGCTTCTAGAGGTACACAAGAAAAAAATAAATAAATAAACTCTTGTTTAAATAAAGAAAGAAATGCTCGATGCCACAAGAAAAATAGATTACCTTCATCTGAATCAAAGTATTAAATTACCTATTATCGTAATCTGAACCAGGTACTGACTACATTTGAGTATTGTCCAGTGGAGCCGAACCAACACGCTGCCAAGCATTCCTATCCTCAAGATAATCAATCACTCTGTAGTAAGCTTGTTTACCTACACAATTCGCGCTTGATATATGTTTTAAATTTGCTTTTATTAAGATCTAATATGCTACTTGGTATTTTATTATAACATTTAACACATAACCCCATGAAGGATTTTTGTACCTTGGACAGTCTGAATTGCAGTACAGCTAACTATACGAAATAGACTGCCTCGTTGGCCGAGTGGTCGCAAGTGCGACTGCCGGGCAAGGGGTCTCAGGTTCGATTTCCGGGTCGGGCAAAGTATTACTGGGTTTTTAAAAATCTCAGTGGTAGCACGGAGTCTGGAAATGTGCCCGGTATATGGTAATAGGCTCACCCGCTATTACATGGGACTCATAACATATATAGCGAAAAGTTTACATTGTACAGTGGCATTAAGTGCCGAAATGTGTACCTCTGCCTACCCCTTTGGGAATAAAAAGGCGTGATGTTATGTTATGTCAATTGAATCGCGAAGTCGATACGTAAGACTAGACATTAATTTTAACAATAATATAGTTTTGTACCTAAATACGTGCAATACGTTTAGATCAACTAAGTTTATTATTAAACACAAAGTCAATTAATTTCTACTACAGAGCTCACTTTCAATGCAAAACAATATTGACTATTCGACGATAACACAAAGATAAGAAAGATTTCAACTCCTGGCGATTTTTCCAGCAATATTCTCCAATACCTGAAAAATAAAATTATTCATACGATTCACGCGCATAATGTGTATGCCAATCATATTATGAATAATTAAGTACCAAGAATTTGTAATTACGAAAGATACGATGCCTTCAATCAGAAATTGATTTTATATAATCAATTTCTATTTGTGTGATTTTATTGTGATTACTTAGGTAACAGACATTTTTCATTGAGTTCTCAATAAATATAAAATACTAAGGTGTACACTTACTAAAAATAATTTTATTTTGAAAGATAATAAATTTCACTGGAGAAGAAAGAAATTAAAGCGAGTGTATAACCTTTTTAGGCGCCTTGTTTGTAACCTTGGCCTGCCTCCATCTGATTGTTTATGATCAAAAGTGCAAGTCTACAGCCGGTTCCAAAACATGTCTTGTGGATTGCCTTGGGATGTTTCACCTCCGTCAATTTTGAGAAATGCACCTATGACGTCATATGGCAGATGGTCATCGCAAGTCGTAGTGCCCTTACTACAATAGCCCTGACATTATCAACAAGATTGGGTAAATTAATGCCAGCCAAAAGGGCCAAAAAATTTATTCAGAGAACTTGAAACAGCTAATTTTATTCTCAATTTACTTTGAAAGTTGTAACGTATTGACAAGTTAATGTTATTTTCTTTTGAAGAGTTCGCTGTTTTATGTTGTTTTTAACAGAAAGTTCAGTTGGGAAGTTTGTCTATGAGGAAGATTGTGAACATTGAGTTTTACCAATAGTTAGGGATGTGGTGAGCCCGACGATAAGTAAGATGAGTGCGGATCGTACGTCAGTAGCTCTTGCGGAAGCGAAGCCGGGTGGCGGTGCACACTGCGGCATGTCCGGAACTAGGGCTGCCTCAAGGCGGGCCAGTGCACCACCACTACGAAGTTGGAGAAGACTGAAACATAACACAATACGTACCCATAACGGGAGGTTCTTACTAAATAATATACCTAGTCATATGACTAGGTATTTTTGCTAATGTCACTATAAAGTTACATTAGCAAAAATTTTAGTTATTTTCCAATAAATATCTTAGAACATTACATTATAGTAAATACCTTCACGTTGTTACTAAATGAAGTTCGTATGATACGATGAATTAGTATGTACATTAAAGAAAAAAAATAAGTATGTAGTTAGTTGAAATGATTAAAAGACGCAGTAAGTGGTAACTGAGATAACTTTTGATATTTTACCAGAATTGCTTACCTAGTTTTAGCCTAAGTTATTTATTTTTATTACGTAATAAAGTGGAAGTTAAGTACAGCTACTTATTCTAATAAATATGTATGTATTTCAGTCTTCTTAGTAATAATATTATAAATCTCATTGTGATAACTTCTGTTACTGACAGTTTAATAATATATAATTATTAGTTTCAATCACATGTCTAAATTATAATTACCTTTAGCCTGATCTGAGACCAGAGAATACAATCTATTCTTTATATAAGTCATTGACCTTACAATAATAAAAGTTTATTTTTGAATGAATTCTCCGACATAAAATATTTCTTTCCAATGAATCAGACCGGTAAGTTATAAAAATCTCTTCATCTGCATGATATTGCTTTCGTTCTATTAAATTTTGTGGATAATACGCTATACGACGTCATCCGAGTCACGTAAGCATTAGGTACCTATGTATGGTGAAAACATAGTCATAACTGTATGTGTACATATTTCAAACAGATAGCTATTATGTACTAACGACTGCCTCGTTGGCCGAGTGGTCGCAATTGCGACTGCCGGGCAAGGGGTCTTGGGTTCGATTCCGCCGGTCGGGCAAAGTATTACTGAGCTTTTCATGAAATCTCAGTAGTAGCACCGAGTCTGGAACTGTGCCCGGTATATGGCAATAGCCTCACCCCCTATTACATGCGGCTCATAACATAAATAGTGAAATGTGGGTGTTACATTTTACAGTGGCATTAAGTGCCGTAATGTACACCTCTGCCTACCCCTTTGGGGATAAAAGCCGTGATGTTATGTTTGGCTATTATGTATTAGTAGCTAAGTATTTCCGCGCGGTTTAACCAGCTCTGCCCGGCTCCTATTGATCATATCGTGATGTTTTAGCCTTCCTCGATAACCGCACTATCTAACACAAAAATAATTATTCAAATTGGACCGGTAGTTTCAGAGAGTAGCGCGCTCAAACATTAGGTGATTAGTCTGCTCGTTTACCTCCTATTCCATAAAAACACACGAACAAACAAATTCTTAGCGTTATATAATAAAATAAGATGTATATTCATTAAAAACTTAAAATAGCTTATCATTTCTCGATACATAAACGTATCTCTCGCTGATTCGATTTATGCAAACAACTATTTTTGTGTGATCAATAAACTGTTGTTCAGGCCAAGGTATTTATGTGGAACTTATGATTCTATTAAAATATATAGAAATTTTAAGTCCATAATAGAAATTGAACTAAAGAGTTGTCAAATCTTATTAATGAGCTATGCGCGTGTAATATTAAAGTTACTTACGATAGCAGGGTAGGTCTGGCATACGGCGACTGACGTGGTAGAGGAAAGGCGAGATGCGCACGAGTGGAATGTACGGGTAACTCCCTAACTGCACACCGACCCCGAGCTTGACTAAGTGATCTGGACAGCAAATAGTACAATACTTTAAAAATATTTTATTATTATTATAATATAATACTAATAAAAACATAATACACACTATGTCAATTCACTAAGTAAATGTAACTAATGATGAAAATTAAGGATTTCAGACTTAAAATCTTCTTTGGAATATACTTATTAACTTGTATTCGTTCCGTAAATCGTATATCACTTCCGTAAGCAAAATTATTTACTTAGAATAACAATCAGAAGTACTATAAAGTTGTGCCTACGTGTATTATTATAGTTCTTGATGAAAAGATTTGATTTCAATGCGATTAAAATGGAAATAGGCCGTAACATAACTGTACCTAAAGTATGTTATACGGGAACTAAATACAAGTAAAACGAGTAAAGGTAATTGACATAGGTACTGTTTTATTCCGTTTTATCTTTTTTACAAATTTGCGGTTTCAGCCACGCACCACACACATGGATAAACTATCATCTACGATTATATTTTATCTATGACTATAGATAATACTACACAACATTAACGTAAATAAACCTTTGATGTTTATTCGTAATTATCTTTAACAAGGACACGGGAAATGGATCAATCAATAATTTCCCCATTTGTATTTAAAGCTTCCATTCCCTGTATCCGATTTAATGAAAAAATAAAATCATATGTACCTAAATAAAGAAATTCGGTTTTCACTAAGGTTGGTTTATTTTTGTACAGAGGATAAGAATAAATTGTCGTCATAACACCGTACATATACATTTCCTTTTTACGATTTTTAACAAACAAAATACGTTTAAAATCTTTATTGCCTTAAAATGTTACGCTTATTAATAGCGTAGAATCAGAAAATAAAGAAAATTTATAGTCGAAACAGTTTTGAGATTTTAAAGATTTCAAAAGAAACAATAAGTTTAAAAGAAATTGTATTTTAAATGAATGCATTAAGTTTATACAAGTAATAATATAATTGTAGAGACTTCAAAACTGTAAACACTACATAAAATAATTTTGATAAAAGTGATCGAGGTGTCTTTTTATCCGATTACAAGAGGCTAGGTATCAAATGGAATTTAAAGTACCTTAAAGTTGCTCGAGCGACTCTTTGTCCCGCAAAGAAAGCGTAGTCTTGACTCGCAGCTCTAGCCAGTCCTTCTTCCGCGGATGATACTAAATTATCCGCATCGGAATATCCTCGAATGTAAAAAGCATTTAACTGGACATCCTTTGTAGACTGCAATGTAAAATTAATGTACCTAATAATTAACCACAACTTTTATTTTCAGTATACTTAATATAAATATTAAGGTATACTTGGTATAATTAAAATATTCAGGAACCATTTATTAAGCATTAAAAATAGAATAGGTACCTACTTTAATACTGTATCATGAATTTATTTAATAACTATATTTATGTTTTATGAAATGAATGATGAATTTACTGGTATCCGCTTATTAACAAACTATGCGGAAATGTGAGTGAAATGCAGATATTTACCAGAATTCGTATTTTATTAATGGGCATGCCCGCCACAATCTCTTAAAACCGCTGCAACTCCTGTAAATCAGGATCTACAGTAGATCTATACAACCATGGAAATACCGGAACACTGAAGTCGGGCGCTTTCCAGGCACATTAATAACTGTTTTGGTTCCCGCAAAGAAATAAATCAGAAGATATTAGAAGAAAAAAAACTATAGTTTACACTTCCCAATACACCAGAATACATATATGTAAGTATATTATATGTCACAATGCAAATTATTGCTTATACGTAAGATGTACTTGTCCAGTAGTCCGCGCAATGCTTTGGGAGTGAAGTGACTGACCCTGGCATTCAGCTGACCTTCTATCGTGCAAGCAATGTTTACAAATTTCTCTCTGTTCATTTAATTTATTAACAATGTTTTCGAGATGTAACAATATTTGCTTTTTTTGTAATGTGTCTAATAGAGGTCTCAAAGTTTAAAATCTCAATTCGATGTTAGAATGGGAGTATTTTGAATCATCGTTATTTTTCATTCATTCATAACTCACGCCTGTCTGAGTACGATTGTCTGAAGGTAGACAGAGAAAAAAAAATACTGATGGAGGAAAATCATTCAATAATTTCTCCCGCCTGGGTGAAGTGAGAGGAAGTGTCAGACTCTTACGGAAACCACCCCGTTCCTACTCCTGCACTTTGAACCGGAGTTCCGGCAACCCGTTAGGTCCTCCGCGGCTCCGTATCGGCAGGTAGAGACTATGGAACGCCAATTGCTACGATTCTTATCGAGAGGTATGCCTCTTTCGCTTCCTCAACATTCATGTCAATAATGACTAAAAACATAACAAGTCTTTTCATTGTTTTATTTTTTTTTAATCACAAAACACTAGCTACTTTAAGGATTGTCAAAATCTTATGTCTTGGAGGTCAAGAACAAACTTAATGATACTTTTTTGTTTATGAAAACAATGAAATGTAATGATATTTCTTTTTATTCTCTCGCAAAGAAGTTTTTGTGTCTCTAATCTTATTTTTACGCGTGTGTTATTGTGTTGTGGATCATTAGGTACCTATACTTCAACTGACTAAAGTTCTTTTTTTAATTTAAGTTTAAGTTTGAATATTCGCTATTTGGTATAAATAAATATAATGTTAGTTTTTTACTGGATCTAGAGGATGACAATGGTATTGCGTGCAATTAACGCATGCGTGCTGTTAATAACCAGTTATGACGTAGCAGACCATTCTTTATTTAAATTTGTTGCAGTTTTAAGTTAATTTTAATTGAAAAAATACAAAAATAACATGTATAAAAGGAAATAACTACTTCCTGCTGACTACTGACAAGCTGCATGCATTAAAACATGAGTTGTATGTGATAGGTATGATTCGTCTCCATCCTCGTACATCATCGCTTACCACCAGACAAGATGGTGGTCAAACGTCAAAAAGTTAAGTGTAAAAAAACGTATAGATGTTGAGACTAGTATTCCATCGATATGTAAATATTCTTTTATCTATATTCTATTCAAGATTAAATGATGTCATGAATGTATTTCTAGAAAATAATGCAGAGCGCGGCGTTTTGTTCAAACGTACAAGAAATTCGATTTCACAGCTTTCAAGTTTTGCGTGCAAATATTGATACATTATTTACCTATGTATACGAAAATGTTGTTTATCTTTTAATAGAATAAATTGATCATGATAAAGACATTCACTGTAATTCACCTTCCAATGTTGAAAATATACTATGGGTTAAACTTACCATAAGATACATTTGATCAGCTCCATTCCTTATGTACCCAATCTTGAAGTTCGGTGAATGAAGGACAGCGGCTATGGTGTCAACACTAGCCACTCTCACAGACAGAACGGAGGTGATAAATGCCGCATAGGCATTGTAGGTAACCACAGCAAAGAACAGGCATACGATCAGCAACATACTTCCTGAAGGATTCGAAGGCGTCCACGTACCACCTTGAAGGAAACATACATGCATTTTTAAGGTTTACTTAAAAATCGTAACGTGTGTCATCGGGTGGTATTTAGTCAGTTAAAGTTGACAGCCATCGTTTCGTCTTCCATAAATAAGTAAAACATTTCAACTTGGAGTAAAAAAATGATTATGAAAAATGGTTTGGCGATTAAATGAATGTGGGAAACAAAATAATATTTTATACCAATTAAAATAAGATCAAAGTTACTTTTAGTAAATCCTGTAAAGCTTAAAGTATTACTCATTTAAAAAAGGATTTTGACGAGTAATATACTCAGTTTACACTCGTGTCGTCGTCTTATGAAAGGAGAATTAAATCGACGAAGATTGTGTTCAGTTATTATTTCTACGAAACTCACTGAACCATAGATCAAGTAAAGCGAATTATTAAAGACGACTACGTAAAGTCAAAAAGCGTATTTAATTCAAGTAAATAAATGCTTTAGTGAAATGTGAAATTAATGAGCAAATAGCACTTTAACTTTTTTTAAGCTTTTAACTTTTTATATCATAATAATTGTAAATCAGTAAATTTATTTAATATCAGGTAATTTTATTAATCAGTGTTTATAATACCAATATATCCTTTTAAAATTTGTAGGTCATCATTAATTAATTACGTTATGAATTCGGGTAATAAATAGAGGGATGCTACGTTCTTTAAACGATGCACTGTTTTTACAGTTAATACAGTATTTGTCTAAAATGAAATTTCCCTTAAGTGCAATATATCTTATTAGTTTTTTTTTACAGTAACTTTAAGGAGCTACACCGTCGCGTCGTGCATGTGGTTGTAAAACAACATTCTAGGCATTTCATCACACCAGCTCTCTAAAGTTAAAATGTTAGTACTACTTTAGTAACGACCTCTAAAGTGCTAGAACTAAACGAATAGAGCAAATCTTCTTTGCCATAATTAGGTACATTATACCAACGAACCCAAGTAACACAAAATTATAATAATATTCGAAGCGAATAATGTTACACAGAGGTATTTCAATCAGAAATAGTAGGTATATCAAAGATCTAAAGATGTCCGAAACAATATCCTGCCCTCTTCTTATAGATGTGATTACTATATCCACAAGAAGTTTTTATATGTGATTAGGAAACTGATTGAATTAATTATAATTTTTGTAGGTACCTAAAATGGAAAACATAACATTGTCACATATGTATTTTACTTTCAGAGAAGGGCAAGGAATCAGTAATTACTTTTTCAGGGAAAAGGGATTTATTTTTTACATATTGTGAAGTGTGGGTAGATACATTTTTTTGATTTCTCATAGGTGTTGGGTTGTTGTGTTATCATTAATAACCATTTCAGGCTATTTTGGAAATATTTGATACGTAATTTGGATACACATACATAAAATACTCTCTGATAATAGCTTCCATTGTTTTTGTTTTCACTAACATACAAGTATCTTGATTTATCTAAGCCATTCTACTTAATTTAAAGCGTGTGTCAAACAGTTATAAATGTCATTTCAGGAATAATCATTACTGGAAACATTTATTTTCTGGCTGGAAAATTTTAGTGGTAATTGAGTAAACTTTAGAACTATTTAATAATACGTGATAGGATAATTATATTTTGAACAGAGTGTTTACACCAAAAGAGCTGATAAAGGAAGATCATTGACCTTACCGTTACCAATAGGAAAACTATTTTATAAAGGATCAAAATGAAAGGATTTTGAGCCTTTGAATTATGATTGTTAAAGTATTGAAAGATTTTGAAAACCTTTTCTTGCATTGGACACTTCTTATGATATGTTTTTATAATAACTATCGAGAGACATACTAAATTAATTAAAAATGGCGGGTTACTCACGTGAACATACTGAGAAAAGCTCTACTAGTTTCGAACCACAGAGGGGTTCTTCTTCATGTCATGTCATGTCACGAGGAACCAGCGATTTTTGGTTAATTTACTTCTTATGATATTTTTTTTCTAGTCAAATTTTAGATAGCTGTAATGCCTAGAATGATTTTATTACTGATATATTTTGAAATGTCAAACAGAAATAGAAATTAAATTCGTAATACGCAACTCGAGCTTTACCGGAAGAGGGAAACTGTCTCTTCATTAACGGAGATTCGGTCTATTATGTGCTAAATCCATGCTAATCTCGTTTAGTTTGCGTACGACTGCGAAACACTTCACAAGTATCACTCGTAAGTACTAATGTTTTTATTTTAACGCAAATTAGTTTTATCTATTAGTTACTCGGCTTTGAATTCTGTATTTTCTTGTTAACATACATATATATAATTATGTATATTCATTTAGTTGCTACAAATTGTTCCCAACTATAAATAGATCGAACAAGATTTGTGTACTGCTGTTAAGTAGTTTGAAATAAAGTTTAAGAAGCAATATAAGGGTTTTATAATATTTTTATGGAATTGTTCCATATCAAATATGTACAAGCAACATAGTACAAATGTTTTGTAATAATATTTTCATATCAAATATACGACAATACATATGGAATGAATAAAAGCTTCGTCACAATACTGTACGGCATTACGAGAATGTTTGTATCCAAAAAATACAAATTCACTTCGACAAAAGCTTCCGTTTTTTTATTTACGTATTTATAGACTACCTTTTACTGAAAGTTTTAACATGGATAATTCAAATCGAACCAAGAGAGTGGCTTTTGTTTTAAAGCAATTTCCCAGATGATTGTGACCTGACTTTTAGAAGACGTTTTCTATATTGTCTCTCCTTAACTAGTATTATTATGGTCCTGGACTGATTCTCACCAGGAATCTAAAATATTCCAGGTGTAGAAACTTGTTATTTATATCTTGCTTATCACCCCCATTCTGACTTGCTGTCATTTATATATGGACTGATTAATATACATATTTACACGAAATAATGTAAAAGGTGGAAGAATCTACTTGTACCCATGAACACTTTAACTGTCAAGTAAGTAAAGGGTAACCTAGTTAGTGGAGCCTTTATTTTGCATGATTGGGTACTTTCCTTAATCAAAATTATATTATTTCCACTGCTTAATACAATAAAATAATAAAAACTATTACACTTTCATACATTGATTTTATAAATAACTTAATTTCAGTATTTTTTCAGCAATTTTTAAAGAAATAAGTATGGTGTTTGACGCTGAAAGAAAATGTGACGTCGCAATACACAATCTCGTACAAAATTAATAGAAAACTGTCGTTATGTACAGTTCGAAGAAAGCATTGAATTTGACTAGTTGTCAAATACCGATTTATTATGCAGCAATGTTCTATACAAAATTATTAATTAAAACTTTAATAGATACCTACCTAATTTATAATTTTTTGGCCATTATGATATGAGCTTATGGTACCGACTTCAATACCAAACTAACCTAACCTATCAGTCCTAATAATAGTTATTTTATGCTTTTTAGTTTGGATTTTTGTTTGTTATTAGTTTTTGGTTTTTTGACGTCGGTTTTTTTAAAATCAGTTTTTATTTTATAATTTTATCATTTTCAATGTAAATCTACATATACATATGTATGTGCTTTGCACCTACAGGTGCAAAGGTCTAATCCAATACAAATTATACAAGCCCAAACACAAAGTGGTACTATAAACCGTTGAAGAGAACCCTAAACAATTACACTTCTTCATCATCAAACTCTTAATGACAGTCCCACTCTACCTAGAGGTAAAGGGTGTAAAGTCCTCAACAATACAAATTAATCAAGCCCAAACACAAGGTAGTTAATATAAACCATTGAGGAGTTATCTCGATTGTCTGTTAGCCCCATCATCAAGTTGATTCCAGAATCAGAAAGGTCTGGACATTATTAAATAGTAGTGTTTAAAAATCCTAATTGAAAAACACAATAGACGCATTACTCTCCCCTACAATTTTCGAAAGTTCCCCTTCCTAGGATTCCATTATCCGATCCTAGCCTCATGGAAATGGGACCATTTTTATACCCTTTCAAAAAACAAGAATTTTGGAAATCGCTTTACTAATGGCGGAGTAATCGGTAAATAAACAAAAAAAAAAAACAATAAGCCGAACATAGTACCTTCTCCTGTTTTGAAGTCGGTATAAAGAGATGCATTTCTCTATTTGTGTCAAAAGTGATACAAACAAACCTTGCTGACAAAGGATCCCAGTAGACCAGATCAGAGCTTCAGTGTACCCCATGCGGCGGTTATTCAAGCAGATGGTTGAGGTCACGTGGCTGATTAATACGATGGCTATAGCTGCGATCAGCACTACCGCTATCACACAGGCGACCAGGCGTATGCTAAACGGAGCCAGGAATATGTCCCTGACTGTTGAAGTTTCTTGCTGGCGAATGTAGATGTTACACCTTTCGCAATCAGAAAAAAACAAAATCAATACATTTATCTCAAGTATGGACCAATAATACACTTTGAAATTAAAAAAACAGATAAATGCTTGAGCATTTGTATTGAGTCTTGTAAGGTATGGGATACGGCACAGGTGGTGAGGCGTGGGCGTAGCGCGGGTGCGATGCCACTTCTTATATATTTTATATATATTTTTAAAGGACTTTGTTTGTCCCACATTAGGATTTTGTCCTGTGTCGTGGTTGCGTTTATAAAATACATGACACCCAGACAGGAAGCAACAATTTGTGGATCAAACAACGAGTTGTTCTGTGTAGGAATCGAACCCGCTGCACTTTGTTTCGTAGTCAGTTGTCCAGGTACCGCACCAATCGTGCAGTCAAAATGAGAGAGGTTGAAATATCAAAGAAGTGGCGTCGCGCTCGACTTTTGCAGAAATCAAGCAAGTTTCCAATGTTCAGGTTTATTACTTGGAATTCAAATAACGAAACTCATTATTCTGTTTGTCATATAATCTACATAATCACATTACTTAAATCTTATAAAATGGATTCGTGTTTCATCCATGACTTTATTCACGAGAGCTTCGACCCTGTCTCAACTTCCGGAGGATACATTGCTGATAATATTATTA